CCCTAGGCAAGTATTTTTATATAAATTATTTACATCTCTATTTATTCCTCAAATTATTTCACACCTGTTCTCGTACGATCTCTGAACTTAAGCAACGTCGAGTCTGGCTCATACCTAGATGGGTAACCACCTGGCAATAACAAAAGGATATTTACTTGACCCCCACTGAGTCAGGTTGTGACAAATGTCAGTTTTTAACGTGGTGACCCGAGTGTTATCACTCGGGCCGCTGGTCAAAGCTGGTCTTAGCTGGTCATAGCTTGCTCAAGCTGGTCAGAGCTGGTCTAAGCTAATCCTAGTTGGTCTTGACTTATCATAGCTGGTCCAAGCTGATCAGAACCAGTCCAAGCTAGTCATAGCCATAATACCACCAGCACACAGGGACGGAGCCATGTGCCAGGTAAGTATCAACTTAGATGTGCAGGTGGTGTAATGTATAAGTTCAGAATTTTTAATCGGAGAGCCGAGTTCAAATCACGTTGCGGTCTTTATAATTTACTTACTCGCAAATAACCTTGGGTAAAGTATAATTCCACTTCTTCTCACCCCAGCTATGGGTTAATTAAAAAAGATTTGCATCACTAAATCATTATTATAAAAAATCGTACAATCCAAATATAATTTCTGGCTTTAATTAACCTTCAAAGTGTTGATAAACCGTAGAAAACAAATCAACAAACCTACCGATCAATCAAAATGCCTTTAACTAAATTGCTTATTCTATCACAAAAGAATGATTATTCTTTTCATTTGATTTTCCTCTCTTGTCTACTAAATCGTTTTAGTCCACTATTTTCATGTTTACTATTCTATAAGAGTCCAGAACATTAGTCGTCTTCCTGCATGCATTTTTTTTTGTTTTTTTATTTCTATTTTGGGAGTTGTTCTGGTTATTTTCCTGGTTGGAACCAGCTAAATTCCAGTTATCAGTCACATTCCATCTTCTGCGACTAATCTCGCCGTTTCTCTTAACGTCTTTTGCTTAAAATTGATATATTGGTTTATTTCAGGTCTTGAGAAAAATTATTTCTAAATTCCGCCGCTTTCTTTCTTTCTTTCTTTCTTTCTTTCTTTCTTTCTTTCTTTCCATCCACCCCTATATTTTTTTCTTTTATCCAGAAAACACGTATTTTTTTCTTCATTTTTTCTTTTGTTCCTTCGATGCCAATTTTTTTCTTTTCGTTTATCTCCAATAAATCTTACTTTCTTTGTTAACATTTCATTCCCTCTTTCTTTCTTTCTTTCTTTATTTATTTATTTATTTATTTCCCATTTGTTCCATCCACCTCATTCTTTCTTTTGCTTCTTTCATTCCAATGTCTTTCTTTTTCGTTTTTCTCCAATCGTTTCTTTCTTTCTTTCTTTCTTTCTTTCTTTCTTTCTTTCATTCTTTCTTTCTTTCTTTCTTTATTTATTTCCCTTTTGTTCCATCCACCTCATTCTTTCTTTTGCTATTTTCATTCCAATGTTTTTCTCTTTCGTTTTTCTCCAATCGTTTCTTTCTTTCTTTCTTTCTTTCTTTCTTTCTTTCTTTCTTTCTTTCTTAACGTTTTATTCCCTCTTTCTTTCTTTCTTTCTTTCTTTCTTTCTTTCTTTTTAACGTTTTATTTTCTTTTTCTTTCTTAACGTTTTATTCCCTCTTTCTTTCTTTCTTTCTTTCTTTCTTTCTTAACGTTTTATTCCCTCTTTCTTTCTTTCTTTCTTTCTTTCTTTCATTCATTTTATTGCCTATTTTTTGCTTCTCTTTTTCTTTCTTTTGCTCTTCTTTCTTATTTTCTTTCTTTCTTTCTGCCTCTTTTTCTAAAATATTTTCTTGCTGGTCTGAAAACTTTTCTTGCATATTACCATTTTGATTTTAATCTTAATGAAGATATTTTAGGTAATTTCCTAGAGTTAAATCTGTTAATCAAACATAATCTTAATCATCTTCCTCCTCCTCCCCCTCCACATCGTCATAATTCCTCCCGTAATCGGGTGTCATTGTAGGATCGTTGCATACCCTGACCTGTTCATATGAGAGGTTCGACTATCGTCCAGTTCACACTCCTCGCCCATCTTTTGAACAGGAGTAGAGGTTTATCTTTTGTTTCTTGTTTAGGATCGTATTTCCGGTTCATTCTAAAGACATTTTCATTTTCTTTCAATCCAAAGAGGCCATTGTATTTTAGCGGCAATATCGCATTGCTTGGGGCCAAATTATTAAAAAATCAAACCTACGTTACTGGGTTCGATGGCGGACCGCCGATAGCAACACCAGCGCTCCTCTGGTGACAGCCACCAGTGGGCCATTGGTTGGCCTCCAGCTGTCCGCCAGTGGTAACATTGCCGAAACGAAAACAACGTGCCACCAGCGGTAAACGCTAGTGGCATGCCACCCAGTGGCAGGTTGGTGGCTTGCCACCCACTGGCAGATTAGTGGCATGCCACCCAGTGGCAGATTGGTGGCATGCCACCCAGTGGCAGATTGGTGGCTTACGTGTAGGATAACTGTGTTGAAACCTGGGGAGATATCCGTTCATGCATATGCGTATCTTGGGCAAGCCGAGTTGACACGGGACATCCCACTCCAGGTTAGACAACAGCAGATGTCCTTTAACTTCAAGGCACGCCCTGGTCATGGAGACGTGACCGTTGATTCCATCGAGGAAGACCAGCGCTCTGGCCGTTGACTTTACTCCCGGAAACAATCTTCTTATTAATTGTCATTACATTACTGTCTGTATCAATAGATACAGATCCCAGGCTACCTCATTGTGTTAGATGCCTCTTTGACCCTTCAAGAAACTTTGGCCGCCCTTTGATAGTTTTCTAATCACGCCGCATATCTAGCCAGCCTTCTCCCCAGATTATGTTGGTGCGGGAACTGGTTTAGTCACCGATGACGCTCCACCATGTGGCAGTTAGTACTGGCTTATATGCGAGCAATAGCAAAGGAAAAGTGAGTTGACATAAAACCAACTAAAGAACGATGTAATTAACGTTAAACCACATGTTGAAGAAGTTCTCAACCCATTTCCATAGTTGTTTATAAACTTACGTTCACTACAAAGGGACAGTTTTTTTTCACTCTAATCATGGCGATAAAGCCACTGAGACGCAAGGGCTAACTGAGAGTACAGAAAACTGAGAATCCGTTGCCGAGGAGAAAAGGCAATAGAAATAGCAACATTCAAGAACACGGAAGATAACGTTGGGTGTTTCATTAAAACCTTTTTAGATTTTATTCGAACAGAAACAAGTGAGAAGTACGCGATAAAAAATATCAGAATAAGAATTACAGTTACAATTTTAAATTCAGTAGTAAAACGATGAAATTTAGCTGCCAATCTAAGCTTAACTTCATTAAATAGATGAGGAAAGCTCATCAAAAGAAAATATATGTAGAAAAGTCATAGGGAAGCTAAGTTATAATAATGAGATAGAGATTAGAACTAAGATGCCAGGTCGGCATAGATAATATTGCAAATTTTTCTTGGGGTATTGTCAAGAATATCTTAATACATAGCAGAGGCTTCAGACCAAATGCGGCAATAATATACTATCCACGAACATCCTGTTTGCCTGACAGCTATAATCTCCAACTATTCAAATGTAATGTCAATTGACATCTCCAGATGCCCTGATCTATCCCCTATCCTGCTCTTCATCATTTCCTCTATCACTCATCTTTGTTCTCGCTTCAACTCTCCGGAACACCTTGCGTGCTAGTGGCTTCCCGCCTTGCTTGGGGTGAAACGCGTAAAAAAAACAAAAAAATTGTCATATGGAATGAAAAAAAAATTGTTTAGCACGAAAAGCGAACCAACTTTTTTTTACCAGCAAACACTAATTTTATATAATCATTTAACCCTAAACAAGGCGTTAAAGCCACTCAGATGTAAATGGTTACTGATGATTATGGAGATTATACTAAACCTAACGGCATCAAGGGGGTTAAGTCTATGTGAATTAGCTCCTCGCTCGGAAAGGAACGACATGAGCGACAGGTGTCACCTGCCAGTCATCCAGCGACTGCTAGCATAAACGGCGTAAAACGGATAAAAATCCTCGAAACATATGCCTTGCTTGCAAAGGAACAATATGAGCAACAGCTGTCACCTGTCCGTCATCCAGCGACTGCTAGCATAAAAGGCGTAAAACGGATAAAATTCCTCGGAATCTATCCCTCGCTCGGAAAGGAACGATATGAGCGACAGGTGTCACCGGACCGTCATCCAGCGACTGCTAGCATAAACGGCGTAATACGGATAAAATTCCTCGGAATCTATCCCTCGCTCGGAAAGGGACGACATGAGCGAGAGGTGTCACCTGCCCGTCATCCAGCGACTGTCACCATAAAAAGGCGTAAAAAGGAAAAATTACTCGGAACCTATCCCTCGCTCGGAAAAGAACGACATGAACGAGAGGTGACACCGGACCGTTATCCAGCGACTGCTAGCATAAACTGCGTAAAACGGATAAAAATCCTCGGAACATATGCCTTGCTTGCAAAGGAACAATATGAGCAACAGCTGTCACCTGCCCGTCATCCAGCGACTGCTAGCATAAAAGGCGTAAAACGGATAAAATTACTCGAAACCTATCCCTCGCTCGGAACGGAACGACATGAGCGAGAGGTGTCACCTGCCCGTCACCCAGCGACTGCTAGCATAAATGGCGTAAAATGGAATAACATTCCTCGGAATCTATCCCTCGCTCAGAAAGGAACGACATAAGCGACAGGTATCACCGGACCGTTATCCTGCGAGTATTTGCATCAAACACAAATTAACTCTCGGGACATGGAAAATCCGAACATTGAACAGCTGCGGTCAGTTTGATAATGTTAAACAAGAGATGAATATATTTAACATTACCATTCTAGGTGTGTGTGGAAAACAAGACCTAACAAAGGCCGGAGGAACTCTCTGGGTTAACGGCCAGCTAACTAGATTTGGTGTCTCTATAATCTACCATGCAGAAGTCAACGGGAAGCCATTCCACTGTCAATCCCAAGACATATGACTAACAACATATCTTTGATCATAAAAAAACAATCATCGTTCAGATCTGAATCATTTTCCTCTCGCGTAACCATTCATCTTGACTGTTCTGGTGCGTATTTTTGAAGAAGGCAGGAGAAGCAGGGTGAAACTGAGAGTAATCTACTTAATGGTTTTGTGTGAATTAATGGCTGAACAGACAGAAAGGAAGGGAGAGAGAGAGAGATTAAAGTAATTAAAAATTTAATTTTTCTTTTTGTCTGATTTTTCTTAACTTTTTTCTTCGTTTCTTGTTTCTAAATCAACTTTCATTCTTTCTTTCTTTTGTCTTCTTACTGTAGTTTTGTTTCAACTCCGCTTTCTTTCTTCTCCCCGCTCTTTCTTTCTTTCTTTCTTTCTTTATTTCTTTCTTTCTTTCTTTCATAGTGTCGCTTTCTGCTTGCCTTTCGTCTTCCTTTCTTCTCAGTGAAGGATTTCTTCATTCATTCTTTAAGTTTGCTTTGTGTCATTTCTTTCTTTTTGCTTTCATTCTTTCTTTCTTCATAGTGAAGGATTCATTCATTCTTTCTTCATTTCTCTCTTCTGTCTTCTTACTTAATTCTGTTTTAATACCGCTTCTTTCTTTCTTTCTTTCAATTATTTTTTTTTGTGTTCTCTTTTTCTTTGTTTTTCGTCTTCCTTCATTCTTTCTTTAATTTAGCTGTTTGTCATTTTTCTTTTTGTTTTTCTTGCTTTCTTGATAATATAGAATTCTTTCTTTCTTTCTTTCTTTCTTTCTTTCTTTCTTTCTTTCTTTCTTTCTTTCTATTTAATTTGCTTCTCGCATATTTCTCTTTACATTCTCCCTTTCTTTCGTTCTTTCTTTCTTTCTTTCTTTCAGACCTTACAAATCATTTTTGTATTTTCTTTTACTTCTTTAATCTTTTTCTTTTTTCCCCTCCTTCTTCCATTCTTTCCTTATTTTCACGCATATTTCTTCAGCTTCGTTTCACATCCTGTGTCCTTGTCAATTAAATTTACCAACTTCTTTTATCCTTTGTCTAATATTTCATTTTTTATTGCCACCTTTTATATATTTTTTCATTCGTTGAACTTCAAGACTTGTTTGTTTGTTTTGTGTTTTTTTTTTTTCAAGGCTTGTTTTTTCCCCTGTTCGATTCTTTGTCACATTTACCGCCATTTTATATCCGTCCTTTTTTGTTACTTATTTAAATTTTCAAGCCTGTTTTTATATATTCTTTAGATTTTTTAACAAGCGTCTGTTTCTTTTTCTTCATTTTTTTGAAATTTTTTTCAGCTCTCTCTTTACTTTTTTTTTTCCCGCCCTTTCATTTCGCACAATGATGCGCATGCCCATTTGTTTATTTTCATCCGTGACGATCTTTTTCTAATCGAATTGTTTAAGTTTTGAAAACGTGAGAAAAGAACAACTTCAAAAACAAATATTATTTTGAAAATCTTTCTTATTGCGTTTTTTTTTTTCCTTTTCATTTGATTATCTTTCCAGTTTTTAATTGTTTCTTTAACACTTATTTGACGTTTTATGGAAACAATAGATGAGTCGTACTTATGTAGTGAATCGTTAGTTCGTTTCAACGCTTCTTAACCCTTTGAGCCCAGACCACCGCTTTACCGGTAGAAAGAGGAAAATGACGTAATTCCCAGCCACCGTTTGAACAGTAGCAGATAAAACTGACTCAATGCCTAGCCACTAGTTGAACGTTCGTTAAACGCTTATAACTATTTTTATATCTACTGTGAAACATTACATACCAATTATTTCCGAATTTTGACTCAAGAGTTCAAGCAGAAGGGTTAAAATTGTTCAGGAACTCAGGGCTCAAAATATTAATATAAAAAGTGGTTCCAAGGAGATTGATAGCAAAAGAGAATTGAACGAACAAGAATAAAGATTCGGATTTTGAATTAAAAAAAAAAGATTTTAAAAAAGGGACGAGTGAAGAGAAAACTCTTTGTAAAGAATGAAACAAAAGATTGACAAATGGAAAATTAATTTTGCCAAGTGGAAGGTTTGTATAATTTTAAAATTACAATATTAATAGCATAATATTGCAAATTTAATTTGGTTCTAAATGTATTAATTTGAACGACTTATAAAATTGATGATGATCTAAATAGAAGTGAACGTCTGTATATACAGCATGTTGATCCTCATACATAAGCTGCTAATAGTCCTATTATAATTCTGCTTGGTCGTCTCTCAGTACCTTAGTTAGCACGACCCTTACGCCCTGCCAATACCTCTTAAATAATTTTGATCACGTGGGAAAGCGGAAAAACCGTTACTTCGTTTCAGTGAGAAAATAAAAGAAAGAAAGATAGATAGAATGTCGATAACATGTTCATGTGTTTAACGTCTGTTTGGGTGAAATGGAAAATGTTATCAATTTCAAATATTTTCATTTCTACCTCCTTACTTGTTAAAATAACCAACTGAATTTCTATTTATGATTGCAATTGCAATATTTGGTGATTTTTTTTTTTTATAAGAATAAGGTGTCACTGCCGACACTTGAGTTTGAACATAGATCGCCCAGTAGCGGTTTTTCCGTCTTTCCACGTGATCAAAACGGAATAGGCCATTATTTGAAAGATATTGGCAGGGCGTAAGTGTCGTGCTAACTAAGGAACTGAGAGACGACCAAGCAGAATTATAATAGGATTATTAGCAGATTATCTATGAGGATCAACGTGCTGTACATACAGATATTCTTTCCGATTTAGATAATCATATATTTTATAAGTCGTTCGAATTAAATACAGACGATCCCATTATTGAAAAGTGAATCACGGGACCATGGGAGAAACGCGTAAGTAGGTAGTGCTGCGAAGTCTAAACGATCGCTATTTCTAGTCTATCCTCTATTACTATACGGACCGCAATTCTCTACTCTATTCACTATACTATTTCTTCATTGGGATCGCTATACGGATTACTTTCCGAGCATTATCGACCAAGCACTATCAGTGCGAATGTTACTCGAAGGGATATGACAACAGCATTGTTCAACGGCGTTACTATATTTGTAGCTGTGATTACAAAGTCTCTACTACAACAAGCATTACGAAAGTGACAACGAGTATTCGATTGCAACAGAAAAGGGGCAACGAATGTTCGTTGATATCAGAAAAGATTTAGGCTCGAATATTTAACGCTGCGATAACGGAATTTCTAGGAACATTTTATTACTCTTGAATTGGCCATGAGTTTATTCAATCATTATCTGAATAATTTAGATTCCTCGGAAAATTCAAATAGAGAAAGCGTGTCTTTCTAGTTGCAGTAATATTCTCCGTTTCCATATAGAAAACATTCGGAATTGACTTAGCAGTTAGTATTACTGCCGTTTAAATTGTATAAAACCTTTCTGTTGAAAAAGTTTTTCTGTAAATTAATGTATATGCGCCTGTGGAAGCTGAATTCAAATAGAGTGCGATCTCTGAATATTTTTGCTTGAATTTTAACCGCTACATAAACATTACCTGTGTATACTGCAACCGGTCTCCAAAAATGCATGATTTTTAATATGTTTAAAACAATTGCATGTGTATAGTGAGAACAACCCTATTTTTGCGTTAAAAAACTGATCTATGTCTTTTTACATCTATCTATCTAGCTAACGAGCTAAGACTCTTATCTATCTATCTATCTATCTCTGGCTGTTCATTATCTATCTAACTATCTATCTATCTATGGCTGTTCATTATCTATCTATCTATCTATCTATCTATCTATCTATCTATCTATCTATCTAGCTCAGTCTATAAAAATCTCGACTTATACTTTAGTATATATCGTAGTTTTCTCAAATCCGCAAAATGATATGCTTCTGTCAGGTATTGAAACCTTTCTTTCTAATCGTCGGTTTAAATAGTGTGGAATCACAATCTTATAGTCCATACTATTATATCATTACTAGCAGCATGGTCCGGCGTTGCCCGTGCTTGATTCAAAAATCGTACGACTCATACAGCAATCGCTATCACTTGACTTAAAATATTTTTGCCCTTCCTGCCCTTTGCCATGCTGATGTTGCTACATGCCTTACTTCTTGCCTATCTCACACTGCGAATTTTTTCTAAGGTCTGGACTAAACAATAAATCTGTTACGAAAAAAGAACTAAACAAAATGAAGACAAAACGATCAGCTTTAAAAAGGGACTCGTAATTGGAAAAACCGAATGAAAAAAGAATGTTAACAACAAATAATTTTTCACACCCAACCCAGTTCTGCGGAATCAGAATCAACGTTGAGTTTAAGCAAGCGAATGAGCCAATTGGAGTAAAGTGACATGCGGATTTAAATTTTTCCCACCTGTGACGAATGCAGCTATCGTTTTTTTTCTGCATGCTAGCATGCTAGTTAACATTCGTGTTAGTCAGCTGTTGACTCTCACGCTGGGTAATAGAATCTTCCTGCCTATTCGTGGCAGCCAGCTATTGGCTCTGACTCTGGCAGGTAGAAAATGGCCGCAAACTACATGAAAACTGCCGTAGAAGCATGAAAAAAATCGATTATTTCCACTATCGATGGGAGTTGGGAAATGCAAAGTCGGTCTTGGCCTTCCAGCTAACTTGAAGCATGTGCATGTAAATGTTGGTGCAAATCCGTCGAAAATTGCGGCCGTGCATTCGTTACAAACACACACACACACACACACACACACACACACACACACACACACACACACACCACAACCTGCGTTTCATTGATAGAGATTACTGTTATAATATTATTACTATATATGGTAGTCATTTTTAGTTATATTTTCTATCAATTTTATTTGTTTTCTCTTTTGGAAATCTTCAAATGATGCGGTTGTTATTAGACAAAGATCTTTCTTTACTATTCTTTAGGGCCAGGTTGCAGAGTTTGATAAAGAGATGTATTGTTTAAGACCCATGAGATTCATTGAATGAAACCCAAAACGGTCGATTGAGATGATAGTTTAGACATTTGTGAACGAGTTGAATGTCACGCATGCCATCCATACAAGAGCCTCGATCTGACTCAGTTCTCAAGTAAACATTTTCGTTTTAATATATCACACTTGGAAAGCGAAAGATGCCTTCCAAAAGCTGTCACATATTATGAAAAAGGAACAGTTCCTTAGAAACAAAAGAAAACTTCTCGAACTGTTATCCCTCCTGGGTATGACGATCAACTACATCCGCGTCCTTGGTAAGAAGACAAATTAAATCCGCTTCCTGGGTAAGACGATAAATTACATACGCGTCCTGGGTAAGACGGTGAACTGCACCCGCTTCCTGAGTAAAGCGATAAAATACATCCGCGTCCTGGGTAAGATGGTAAACTACATCCGCGTCCAGGGTAAGACGATAGACTACATCCGCGTCCAGGGTAAGACAATAAACTACATCCGCTTTCTGGGTAAGACGATAAACTACATCCACGTTCGGTGTAAGACAAACTACATGCAACAGCAAGGCTCCTGATCAGGAGGTTTTGAGGAGCGTGGAACCACCTCTTAATTGCTGGTGTTCCCAGGTCCACCCTGACCCGAGGTGGTAGCAACTGTTAGTGTCCCAGCTATGGATAAATAGTTACGCCCCAAAAGAAGTGAAAACATTTTGAAAGTATAAAAATAGGTTTTAATACCAGCAATACTTTTTGGAAATTTTTTTACCCGCAATATATTTTTGAAAAAATTTTAGCAGCAATAAAAGTCTTGTCGGCATTAAATATCCCATTGAGGTTGATAATCCGTAAACCAAACCAAACCAAACCGAATTATTATGGTAGTTAATTCAAGACACTCTCTTCACGGGAAAGAGGGCGTGGGAAATTTGATACTCACTAGATTGGAGGCAGAGAAACAACTCATAACATACCTAGCGAGGTTCAGTAAATGGATTTTAGAGACATGTTTAGGGGAAATAACAAAAAAAACAACATTTATTATGAGATACAAAGCACAGGAAATTGTGGATAGCCATGATCACCAACTTCCTCAAGGGACACGGCACATATAAGGAGAGGAATGAGCTTGTGTAAATGGATAGTGGAACAAGGTTTAGGAGAAATAACAAAAAGACAAAATTTATTAAGAGCTACAAGACACGGGAAATTGTGGAGAGCCACGACTACTCACGTCCTGTAGGGACACGGCACATAGGAGAAGAGGAATGAGCTTGTGTAAATGGATGGTGGAACAAGGTTTAGGAAAAATAAAAATTTATTAAGAGCTAAATAGGACAGGAAATTGTGGAGAGCCATGATCGCAGACGTCCTGAAGGGAAACGGCACATAGAAGAAGAGGAATGAGTTTGTAGAAATCAATGGTGGAACAAGGCTTAGGAAAAATAACAAAAAGTCAAAACTTATTATGAGATACAAAGGATAGGAAATTATGGAGAGCCATGATCACCAACGTCCTGAAATGACACGACACTTAGAGGATGAAATTGTATTAAACAAATGATAATGTTCACCTCAGAAGTATGGCCATAGACTGCGGGACAAAGCCAATTTATTTTTGAGATTACTTCTTATTTACGGCAAAACGTGTAAGGCATTTATCATCCAAAGCCTCTCCCAGTGGTTGGCAACAAAACGACTTCAGTCATTTCATAAACTATAATATTTACAAGCCAATAGTAAAATGTTATTGACCAAACCCATTTACCAAACTCTGAACAAAGCATTTTGGGGTAGCTTCGAGCACATTACAGAAACCTATCGTTTATATAAAGTAACTCAACAAATATTAAAGCCATTATTTAAATATATACACTACAGTTTCAAATTTGACGGAACTTTAAATAAGAGAACATTATTATACATGGTTAAAAAAAATGAGAGATGATTTTTATTAGAAATTTTATTATAACTGTTGTGTAGGAGACCTACCACTCCTCTTGAAGATGAACTTGTCTACAAACAAAGACGTTAAATAGTGGCATGTCAAAAGACAGACAGAGTCAGAGAAGTTCTTGGCTGAGCTAGTTATAGACTACTCAGGCGATTTCCTTACCTACTTACCAACCTAATAAACCCCTTTTTATTGTTACGTGTTATTTGGCGTTTGTCTTTACTAACTCCAAATCAACATCATAACAATAACAAATCGAAAAAAAATGCATTTTATGCTTAAATTTGGCTCTCGTCAAAATATCCTCTCTTTAGCCTTGATTACTACAGCACACATTTTTGCCTTTCGTTGCAAAAGATTCTTAAAGTATAAGTTTGGTAATTGATTCCATTCGTTTTTCATCTACTATAAGATCACTTTTTAATCTTTTCCGCTCTTCTGTCAAGTTCATTCCATGCAAATTCTGGAGGTGGGTGGCATCAAACGTTTGAACAGTACTGTGCATATATATATATATATATATATATATATATATATATATATATATATATTTATATATATATATATACACAAATCGGAGACTTCAGAAAGCTATGGTATATTTCGCAAGACCGATACAATTGTCAGACCTTAGGATTTCAAAACAACAAGGAATGTCTGACG